CTCTCTCTGTATAAAAATAGTGGCCTCACCCTATTCTCCAACAAGCTGACAAGCTTATTGGGTGGGGCTCCTCCCTTTGCTGCGTCTCTGCAGGAAGCAGAAAGGGGAGGAGAGAGCCAGCTAAATAAGAATGCATGTCAGCTTGTTGGAGAACAGCTTGAAGCCAGCTTGCCAGGTGAGCAGAAGATCGGAGAGAGGGAGGGGGGGAGAGAGAGAGAGAGAGAGAGAGAAAAGAGAGAGAAAGAGGGTGTGAGAAAGAGAGAGAGGAGAGAGAGAAAGAGAGAGAGGGGAGAGGAAAGAGAGTGGGAGAGAAAGAGAGAGAAAGAGAGAGGAGAGAAAGAAAAAGAGAGGGGGAGAAAGGAAATAAAGAGAGAGAGAGGAAAGAGAAAGAGAGAGGAAGAAAGAAAAAAGAGAGAAAGAGGGTGGGAGAGAGAAAGAGAGGGAGAGGAGAGAGAGAAAAAGAGAGGGGGAGAGAGGAAAGAGAGAAAGAGGAGAGAAAGAGAGAGGGAGGGAGAGAGAGGGAGAGAAAGAGAAAAAGAGAGACGGAGGGAGAGAGAGAGGAGAGAGGGAGAGAGAGAAAGAGAGGGGGAGAGGAAAGAGAGAGGGAGAGGAAAGAGAGGGAGAAGAAAGAGAAAGAGAGGAAGGGAGAGAAAAGAGAGGGAGAGAAAGAGAGAAAGAGGGGGAGAGGAAAGAGAGAGGGAGGAAAGAGAGAGAGAAAGAGAGAGAGAGGAAAGAGAGGAGAGAGAGAGAAAGAGAGAACTCATGCACAGCAGCCTCTATTTCTTTTTAATTAAACTCTTCAATCAAGCTCTCCCCCCCCCTTGCGCACGCGCAGATTTTGCGGTTCCCAGTGTTTTCTTTTCTCTGGGAAACAGGTCCAAGTGGTTCTTTGGGTGTTTAAGGTTGCAGACCCCTGGGCTAGCTCTTCCAAAAATACCTTAACTAAATTGTTTCTTTTGCTCCAACTAATATGCACAAAAATAGAGGAAGAATTACTTGATGAGCCAAATGCACTGACTTGGAAAGTTAGTTGGCAAAGGAAGAAAGCTAGAGTAAGACCAAAGAAAACAGAAACTTTGACCTATTAGAGGGGATATTATATTAAATGTTTGAATGTGGTTAAGAATAGATTGCTAGAAATAGAAATATTATTATAACTAGATAGATAAGATTGGTAATCAGAATATCATATTTTGGCATGAAAAGGGAAATAAGAAAATGCTAAGAAGTTTGAATAAGGGAAGCTTTTGGTTAACCAAATATAACTTGTTTTTAAAATATAAAAGACTGGGATATTTTGAATATGGATGGGAAATTAAAATTGAAAAAAAAAGCGAAAATAGGATACTGACTGAATAAATGGATATTGAGTGCAAATGCAATTAAGATGTTTTGGTTAGAAAAGATATTTTAAACTGATATCACTGATATTAGAAAACGCTGATAAATGCTGATATTAAACTGTATATCTATTAATAACAATAAGAGTTGTATTTGCTTAATGTGGAAAAATATTTATTATCGGAAGAAGAGAGGAGGTATTGGATGATGTAATATTGGATTTAGTTTGAAGTAGCTTATATGTACCATGTAATTATTAATGGACCCAGTCAACATGTTGTCTATTAAGCACTTGTTTGTAAAAATAGAAAATTAATAAAATATTTATTTAAAAAAAGGCAAATGTAATTAAAAACTCCCATAAGATAAATTCCCATAACATGCAAACTACTGCTTTCTGTTCTGTGATAGACAAAAATTTGCTGTGTTGTGTTTATTTTTGAATAATATGTCCAGTTTTGGGGATTGTGTGTTCAAATGGGTTAGGAATAGAAAAGATGAAACTAAGTTGTATCAGGGGAGATTAAAAGAATTTGATATGTTTAGACTTGAAAGAAGAACACTGTTTTCAGTTTTCAGACATTTGAATTTGTGATCACAGAGGCCAAGATCTATTCTTTATCATGCCAGAGAGTGGACACTGTTCAAAGACAAAGGAAGGCAGGTTCCAGCTGAGGGTAAGGAAAGATTAAAAGTAAAAATAGATTGGCAGAGTGGCTATTTGAGTACATTTTTGCTGAATTTATTCAAGCAGAGGTTGGACAAAGTTTTTTCTGAGGGGAGACAAAGAGTTATATGAATATCCTGCAATGAATAAAGACTTGATCTAACTATATAAGGAAAACTATTGTTTGTAGGTACTCACTGTGTATTTCAATGACCTTCTCAATGGAATGCACTGCATTAACATTTGCTGTTTGCTGTAATATTTTTTCAGGAATTGGATCAAGCTGAGTTAATAAAAAATACAAGTTAGAATATCACTTTTTAAAATAAATAATGAACATATGATTTGAACAATTTAGATTTCTTTAAGTGAAAAATATGTGGCTTGATATCCTTTGAAGTTATATCCAACTACTATTTGTGAAAATCAAAGAAAACTATAGTTAAATTATAATTAATTTAATTTAATTATAGTTAAAAGATTAGGAGGGAGGGAGCTGAACATGTGGGGGGAAAGGTGGGATTGTGTCTTGATTCCTCAATCACCTCCAGTCTGATGCTCCCCCATTGGGCCCCAAACCATGTCTTCCAGGAGGCAAGAAGGGTGGGAACCGATCTCACCTCAGATATCTTAGACTTGTGGGTTGGTATTAGATCTCTAAATTCTATAGTCATTTCCTAGACAGCAAAATCTTGAAGATTACTTTTCCTGTCTTATTTGTTAAAATTTAAGTGGCAATGACTATCAAAAATATCTCTTTTGGCCAAGGAGATACAAACAGTTCTATCCAGTAGTGATAAAATGTTCCAGATTTTTGACATAAGATCAGCTACAACTACAATAGAATAGAGCTGGAAGGGACCTTGGAGGTCTTCTAGTCTAGCCCCCCTGTTCAAGTCGGAGAACCTATACCATCTCAGACAAGTGGCTGAAATTTCAGGTGGCATGAAACCTGAAAGCAAGTTTCCCATAAAGTGTCAGTGCTGCCATCTTCACTATGCATCACTAAACTTGCTGGCATCCTGCCATAAATGGAGGGATGGGGGCAAAAGAAGTTAGGGAATAGAATTAGAAGGGACCTTAGAGGTCTTCTAGTCCAGCCCCCTGCTCAAGCAGGAGAAACTATACCATCTCAGACAAGTGACTGTCTAGCCTAGCCTCTTCTTAAAAATCTCCAGTGATGGAGGGCCCACGATTTCTGGAGGCAAGCTGTTCCACTGGAACCTTGTGGTAACCCACTGCTTACTTCTCTCCATGTGGATGTAGTGCCGTTGAGGACTACTCGTTGAGTACGGGAACCAGATCAACCCTTTTCCAATCCTCAAGTACTTCCCCGGTTTTCCAGGATTTATGAAAGATGTGGTGTAATGGTTCTGAGATAACATCTGCCAGCTCCGTCAGCACTGTGGGATGTAGTCTGTCGGGTCCTGGTGATTTATACTCGTCAAGGTCGGATAGGTGTTCTCTTACCATTTCCTTGCTTATTTTAATTTTTGTTTCTAGTTTTTCTTTTGCAGTGGTTTTTTTTTGTATGTTGGGTTATAGTTTCTTTTTGTGTGAAAAGTGAAGCAAAGTATGAGTTAAGCAGCTCTGCCTTCTCCCTACTGCAGGGGTGTCAAACTGCCGGCCCATAGGCCGGATGCGTCATCTGAAGCCATGCCCACCCCATTGCCGGCAATGGCAAAACCAGCCCAATATGTTGCGCAACGTCATGTGACGTCGCGAGTTTGACATGTCTGCCCTACTGCCTATTATTTTCTTGCCATCTTCTCTCTTCAGTGGACCTACAGTTTCCTTGACTTTTTTCTTGTTATTAATATGTCGGAAGAAACTTTTTTTATTGTCCTTGATTTCTGTTGCAAGTCTTTGTTCGTTCTGAGCCTTTGCTTTCCTGACTTCATCTTTGCATGTTCTGGCTGTCTGCCGATAATCGGCCTTAGTTATGTGCCCCTCTTTCCATTTTTTGTATTTGTCCTTTTTGTTTTTCAGTTTACCAGAGAGATCTTTGTGCAACCACGCTGGTTTCTTCTTGAATTTCTTGTTTTTCTTTTTCAGTGGTATTGTGCTGATATGGGCTTTTATGATCACATTTTTCAGAGTCTCCCATGCTTCTTGGGTTGTTTTCCCCTTTAGGATTTTCATCCATGAGATCTTTCCTAGGTTCTCTCTGAGTTTGTTAAAGTCAGCTCTTTTGAAGTTTAAGACACTGGTTGGATTGTTTTCTATTGCTAGTGTTTGCATTATATTAAATTCCAGTATAACGTGGTCACTTTCATCCAAGGTTCCGGAATTTCAAATCCCTCTATCACTTCTTTTCTATTAGTAAGGATTAAGTCCAGTATAGCTTTATGTCTAGTTCTGTCCTCCACCATTTGGGTGACAAAGTTGTCAGCTAGGTTGGTTAGGAATCTGTTTGACCTCCTGGTCACTGCAGAGTTTGTCTCCCAGTTGATAATCTGGATAGTTGAAATCTCCTATTACTACTGTGGTATGCTTCCTACATACATTTGTTAACTGGTTGGCAGAGTCCATCTCTTTCTTCTGATTGGTTGGGTGGCCTGTAGTATACCCCTAGGGCAATGTCACTTTTTTTCTCTTTTATATTGACCCATATACATTCTGGAAAGATTTTATCTTTGATCATGTGCATTTCTGTAGATATGTATTGTTCTCTTATATATAGTGCAACTCCCCATCCTCTTTTTGTAGACCTGTTTCTTTTGAACAATTTGTATCCATCCTCCAGTCCATTCCATTCATGGGTTTTGTCCCACCAGGTTTCTGTAATGCCAACTATGTCATACCCTCCCTCATGTACTCTTGCTTCTAGTTCGTCCTGTTTGTTCCCCAAGCTTTGAGCATTTGTATATAAGCATTTAAGACTTTTATGCCTGCCTGTGGGTATGTTTCTTGCATGTCCTGATTGTTGTTTGAGTTTTTCTTTTTTCTCATTACTGCCTACCTCATTGTTGGATTTGTTTTCTTGGGATTTGTGATTGTTTTGGGTTCTAAAGATTCTAAGATTGGTCACCCCTCTCCCTCAATTTTAGTTTAAAGCCCTCCTGATGAGTTGGACCAGTCTTTTTCTGAGTACATTTTCCCCTGTTTTTGTGAGGTGCAGCCCATCACTATAGTAGTGGGCTTATGGGATTTGTGCCAGTCAATGAATAAAAGAGCATAAATTGCATTTTTACTTTACCTCATTTCCTAGTAAAGCAGAAACACATGCTTCAGATGCATCACAAATGGCTGTCAGATCGTGACCACCTTCAAGAGCCAGAATGATTCGTCCTTCAGCCAGCCCCATAAGCTGTTTGGTGAGGTATCCAAAGCCTGGGAAAAAGCAAAAAAGAATAAGGTGCATATAAGCATTATTAATAAATAATTATTAATTCATCTCAAAAGTCAGAAATATTTCAAATCATTTCTCCATTTTCAAACCTATCCCCATGATGATCATATGTAATCTGCTTCAAATTGACTAGAATGCAGATGTAATCAATTTATTTTCTGAACCTATATGAAAATCAGAGTGCCTCTATATATTAAAAATATTTTTAAAACATCTGCAATTTACAGCTCAGAATTTCTAGTCTTGTGTATATTAAGGAAGAACATCACAAAATGTATGCACTAAAATAATGCATATTTGGAAAAAAAGGCAAATAAAAAATGATATGAACTCTGTTTCCTATCAGTCTACAACCACAAACAGATATAAAATAGTAAAGGAGGAACATTTGGAAAAATGAGAAACTGAGCACTATTGAAAATTGTTTGCTCTATCATAATCATGAAATTCTGTAAGTAAGTAGCCTGAGATATTTGATAAATTTGTGGCATGCATGATAAAGTAAGCTTTTATGAGTTATATCCAATATGCCAATTCTGTCCTATCTGTGACTTTCTAATCTGTGGGTCAGGCATAGGAAAGACTGCCCACAAAAATCACTTTTCTTCACTTCACTTAAAAAAAGAGCTGCTAGTTCCAATTGTGGTTGCAAAATAAGTACTACCAGTACCATTTTTGTCTTTCCTGATGTCATTCCATAAAGAGTGAAATGAGAAAGTGATTGCTAAATTTGAAACTGAAAGATCTTAAATATAAACATCCAAACACATATATGTGAAATTTAAAACCCTGAAAGAACTTACATTTTGCTGATAGATTATATCCCCCAAGGGGTGCAGGATGACCTTCTACTGCATCAAAACCTGATGACACCAGTACAACATCTGGAGCAAACTCATGAGCAATAGGCATTACTATTGTTCTGCATCATGAATAGCCAATCCCAAAAGGAAAAAAAAAGCAGAAAACAGATTACTGTACTGTACTCACCAAGATACTGAATAATTCGATTTTCTTCTTCAATGGCATTTTCAATACAAATAAGAACCAAACAAAGAATGAGAAAAGGACTAGAGAAGATGCTAAAGCTACTGTAGCTTATACTTTTGAAGTTTACCATTTTCCTCTATAGCTACAGAAAAAAGTATACATTGAAATACAAATTTATGAATAGTTGTACAGAAAACTATAAAGTAGAAAGACATAACTATATCGCACATTGTATGGTTCACATACAATGCTAACCAGATACAACTAACTTTTACTACTGACTGAAATAAATGGCGCTTAAGAAATTAAACTGTACAACTGAGTGTCAATTATTTCATTTTCATAATATTATTATCAAGATTAAAATGCGTGCTTCATCTGCATACATTTGATTAGGATATATGATTAATAAATGAAATTGTGCATTGAATACCAGGATACAGGGCCTAAAAGTAAGTATTACTGGTGAATTCAAGGATGTGGAGCACTGTTGTCATTTCTGTGATGGACAAAGTACACAGTTTGCTGTTGTTGATTGCATTTGAGTTTTGGAAATGCTCTGGCTGCAAACAACTAGATAACTATCCTAGACTTTGTGGTGGATTTTTATTCTTAGTATTATATAAGCCTATTCTGGACAACTTTGGGATGTTTTCCCATCTCAAAATTGTAGGGAACTCTATGGCCAATTTTTACCAACAGTATTTAAAAGATCTTTGAGGGGGGCACAAAAAGATATTTAGGCATAGCTGTCTAGCCTAATTTAAATGTTTTGCTTTAGAATATAATGAATTCTGTGAAAAAGAGAATAAATATACTAGTTTTTAATTCCTCATTGCAGCTTCTTTCCTGTGCTCATCAAATGAATGAACTTCTATAATAGAGTGACTTCCAATCTACGTACATTTGAACTTCACTTATGATTGGTAGTTTAATAACCGTTCAAAGTTGCAATGGCCTCAGAAGAAGTATGTTATCTTCCAGCTGCTGTAAAATGTAATGCTATTTCCCCCTCCCCCCAAGGACACATGATCTTGATTTGAGTGCTTGGCATGTGATTGCCATTTGCAATCTCCTTTGCTGGCTTCCCCAAAAAATCAATTGGGGAAAGGTTGCAAGCCACCTGCTGTGAGGACTCCCTTTTGTCTTCAAGGGCTGACTGAAAGAGTTGACTACAGAGGGGTACTAATAATCCAAGTTCCATTCCTGCAGCCCACTGGAGCAATTCTCTTCATTGCACAGAGGGGAGGTGAACTTGGCAGGCAGCTCTTTCGCTCTGTCTGCTTAACAATCTCTCAGAGGTTGCTGGGGGTGCTAGTGTTGTGGTCACTGAGCAAAGCTATCAAGTGAATGTCTTGCTTTGTTCAGTGACTGAGATTCCAATCCCAATTGTGGTTATAAGTTGAGGACTACCTATATGTGTCCCATGACATTTAGAATTGAAGAGGTATAGGGGATATATGCACAATAATTGGACATTTTTGAATTGAGGAACTTTTGAACTCTTTGACAAAAAACAAACTGCCCATCTCACTATATTAAGTGTAGGCTTTTTGGGAAAATAAATCTCTATGTTAAAAACATCTGGATTGTGCGGTTTATCTGACTCATGGAACTGTTTGTTTAGAATTACTGCTAATTTTTTAAATTATGGCATATGTTTTCTTTTAGGCCAGTGTTTCTTAAAAGTGCAGTCCCAGGACTCCTGGAAGGTCCCTTCCAGGGATCTTGAAATTAAAATTATTTGCCAGCCTTTGCTAAAAATAATACAATATTAAAGCCCCATCAAACAATAATGAGAAACAGTAGCAGTAGCAAATGCATCAATTTTAATTTTTTAAAACAATAAACATCAATAAATATAATCCATATAAACAAAAGCTCTTTTGGGATCCTCCATAATTTTTAAAAGTGGGAAGGGGTCCTCCGAAAAAAAAGTTTAAGAAACATTTAAGTTTCTTAAGTTCTAGGCTGTACTGTGTATTACATTTTCCCTTGGAATTTATCAGAAATGGACTATAAGAGAATTTTACTATGAACAGTAATTCCAGCAATTATTTTCCTTAATCTGATTTTGTAAATAAAGGCTGTCCCAGTACCCTGGCTTTATTAAAATGGGGAGTAATGAGACTTACTCATCAAAAACTACAAGAGAAAACATCATATAAGGAATATATATTGAAAATAACCACTAAAAACATAAATAGCGTGAAAAATATCATATGAGAAATATGTCATAAATGAAAAAATTATAGAGATAATTTTATACTAGATTTCATACATTAAAACTTGCATTCCCTTTATGTAATGTATTTAATTTTTTACAAGCCTAAGGCTTATGCTTAACATAAGCCTTAGGCTTGTAAATCTGAATAGTGTGGTTTGTTAACATACAGATACTCCTAATGACCCACCAATCTAAGAAAAAATTGTAAATTAAGAATTACCTGAAAGCAGTCAAATATTCTGAGTCTCCTATTGGTGGATTAAGACCACCAGTAAATGCTATATTTACATTAAAACCAACACCCAATCCTATGCCAACCTAAGAAATAGAAAATGAAAAAAAATGAAACAGGTTATGTATCTAGAAATAGTAACATCTATAAGATTATTTGCTTAGCAACACTTCAAATCATTTAATAGCTCTTATACAATTTAATATGAGAAAATACAAACCGATGTAGAAATTTTGAATTGTCCCTCCTTCACTATTATGATAGTGCGATTGGAATGTAAAGGTACAAACAATCTTAACTTTTAAATAAATTCACAACAGTATCCTATTCATGACACTATCTGTTGTGTAAGCCTGTGTGAGTTCCTAGTCATTGGCTTGAACAGGATTGCTCCATGCAATCTCTTCCAACCCGTGGACCTCTTGGTCCAACATGGAGTAATTGAAAAGGATAAAATGGAATAGAGATATCTAGAATGCTGCTGGTAGATGAGCAAACTTTACCAAGCACAGGTAAGAGCTGCTATTAAAGCCTACCATGTGACAATTTGGGTAGTGAAGTCTAAATACTGTATTTTCTACACTAAATGTGTCTGCAGATAATCACCCATTGATCCTCTTTTAGGTGAACTTTTTCCTCTTGGGAAAGAGTATAGAGGTCTACCTGCAGGGCCAGTTAATCATTCTGACTTTCTGGAAATTCCTCCTTACTTCCTGGTTGGACCTCTGTGTGACAAGCTTCCAGCTTCCTTTTCTGCCCTCAGTTGCTATGGAGAATAAATCGATGCAATTGTCCCTATGAGACCGCTTCAAATATTGGAAGACTGTTATCAGGTCTCCCCTAAGCCCTCTTTTTTGGTTAGACAAAACATACCTAGTTCCCTTAACACAGACATGTCAAACACAAGGCCTGGGGGCCGGATGCGGCCGTGAAGTGGTTTCATCTGGCCCGCGAAGCCATCCTGGAAACAGCGAGGGAATGGTCCCCGCTGCCTTGGCCCTGGCCCACAAGGCCGTCTGGAAACAGCGAGGAACCAGCCCCTGCTGCCTCGGCCCCACCCCCTGGGTGCATGCTGGGGAGGTGTCACCCTTTATGAGGAATGAAGAAATGCACCATTGCCTGGAAGTGGCCAGCAAATGGTCCTCGCCTACTTCACATATCCGAGTTGATGGGCTCTGCCCTGGTCCCACCCCTTTCTGCCAGAGACCCTCAGATCTGTCCCACTCCTGCCCAGGCCCCCACAGGCCCCCTTGATGCGAATGATGTAGAGTTGGCCACGCCCACCCAATAGGCCGTACCCACACGGCCCCCCGAGGACAACTGCAATGCTGATGCGGCCCTCAATGAAATTGAGTTTGACACCCCTGCCTTAACAGTTCATCATACAATTTAGCCTCCAGATCCCTTATCAGCTTTGTTGTTCTTCTCTGCACAAATTCTAGGGCCTCAACATCTTTTTTTTTGTATCATGGTAACCAGAACTCGATACAGTATTCCAAATGTGGCCTACTAGTGTAATATAGAGAGATACTATCACTTCCTGTGATCTTGATGTTATCCTTTGATGTACTTAGAACAGTGGCTTTGGGGGCAGTTTTTTGGCTTTTTGAAGATTGGAACCACATCAGCTCTTTTCCAGTCCTCTGGCAGTTCCCCCATGCTCCAGGAGCTATGAGAGATTTCATTTGTGGTTCTAAGATCATCTCTTCCAGTTCCTCAGTACTCTGAGATGTAAACCATCTGATCCAGGAGATTTGAACTTGTTCAAATAGATAGATATTCTGATTCCAATCCTTGCCTATTTTGACCTGCATTCCTGTTCTATCTTCCACAATGCTGCTTTTGATGGGCTTGACTGTTTTTCTTTTTGTGAAGACAGATGCAAAGAAGGAATTAAGCAGTTCTGTTTCTCCTTGCTGCACATCATATTCTTGCCACCTTCCTCCACTACAGGTAGTCCTTGACTTACAACCATTCATTTAGTGACTGTTTGAAGTTACAATGGCACTGAAAAAAGTGACATAATTATTTTTCACATGACTGTTGCAGCATCCCCATGGTCACGTAATCAAAATTCAGATGCCTGGCAACTGATTCATATTTATGACAGTTGCAGTGTCCTGAGGTCATATGATCACCTTTTGTACCTTCTGACCGCCAAGAATGGGGAAGCAGATTCATTTAACAACCATGTTATTAACTGAACAATTACAGTGATTCACTTAACAACTGTGGCAACAAAGGTCGTAAAATGGAGCAAAATTCACTTAACAAATGTCTTGCTTTTCAAGAGAAATTTGTGGTTCAGTTGAGGTTGTAAGTCAAACACTATCTGTAGTGAACAGATCATTTCCTTGAATTTTTAATTGCTCCTTATATACTGAAAGGAACCTTTTTGGTTATTTTTTGCTTTTGTTGCCAGTCCTTAGTTCATTCTGAACCTTCATGACTCTATCCTTGCAGATTTGAGCTATTTGCTGGTATTCTATTCTAATTATATACCCCCCTTTCCATTTTTTTATACTTGTCCTTTTTATCCCTCAATTAGTCAGAAGCTCTTTGTGCAACCATGCTCGTCTTATCCGGTGTCTTGTTTTTTCTTTCTCTGTGGTATTCTTTTTCCCCCCCTTTATTATCTTGTTTCTCCCTCTAGATTCATAGAATCTTTCCTAATCTTTTAATTTGATGAAGTCAGCTCTGTTAAAGTCTAGAACACCAGTCTAACTTTCTTTAATTACCTGTGCCTGCATTCTGATGAATTCTAGAATGACATGGTCACTCCCCCCAAAATTTCTACAACTTCCACTCCCTAAGCCATTTCATCCCTAGACCCACTATGGGGTCGCAGCCTATTTGGAACTGGGCCATGCGAATAGCGCCCCAAAGACTTCTCTTCTCTCTTGTGTGAGGGGAGCTATGCACTCACTCACAGAGGCTGGCTGTGCAGGACACCCAATCCAGTTTTGGAGTGTCGGGCAGCCTCGGTGAGTGAGTGCATAGCTCCCCTCACCTAAAAGGCTTCTCTTCTCTAGACTAAAAGGTTTTGCAAACGAAATTAAGGCTTCAGGGGAACGATCTTGTGTTGCTTCAGGCCTTTAGTCTCTTTGCAAAAGCTTTTGGTACGGAGAAGCCTGAAGGAACCTGAGTACTATAGGCTTCTCTTCTGTCTTGCATGGAGCTGTGTGAATGTGTGCACATGTCTGCGCACCAACTCACTGCTCACAAAGCCTGATTCCCCTCTCCCCCCCAGCTGGGCCACCAAACCGCAAAGGTTGGGGACCATTGCTCTAGTTCTCTCCTCAAACTTTTGGATGGTAAAGTTGACAATTAGACATGTCTGGAACTTGTTCAATCTCCCACTTGATGCAGAATTTGTCTTCCAGTTGATATCAGGATAATTAAAAGTCTCCCATTACTACAGTGGTGTATTTCCTGCATACCTAAGCTAACTGATTTGTAACAAGTTCATCTATTTCCTTTGCTTGGTTGGGTAGCCTGTAGTACACAAACAGTAATCATATTTTCCCCTAGTATTCACCCAAATATTTTCACCCTTGGTATCATGCAGCTGTAGGAATTCTTTACATACAATGCAACTTCTCCTTTTCTTTTCTTGAGTTTTTTTCTTCTGAACAAATTATATCCTTCTAGTAATATACCCCAATCACAGTTTCTATCCCACTGAGTTTCACTAATAGCAACAATCTAACCACCCTCATATACCAGAACTTTAAGTTCTCCCTGTTTATTCGTCATACTTTGAGCATTAGTGTGCAGACATGAGCCCTTTATGGCTGACCCGGCATTTACGTGTTGCATTTCCTGTTTTATATTCAGGTGCCCTTTCTCCTTTTTGGTCTGATTTGTTGTCTTGTGGCTTATGCTTTGGGTTTGGTCCTAAAAATTGGCCTCCAGGTTTAGTTTAAAGCCTTTTGGATGAGCCGACCCAGATGATTCTAAACCCATTCTTCCCAATCCTTGTGAGATATCTTGTCAGAATCCCATCATGTAGATGTTGTAATGTAAATCATAATGTAAATCATGATCCAGAAATCCAAAATTCTTTCAATGGTACCATCCCTTGTTTGAGTCATCAATCACCACCACACCTTTTTCTCTTTGGGGAACCCAGGGGATTCCTCTTCTTTGTGACAGTCTGTGTTACTTTTCTTCCTGTGACTGGAAAAAATTGATGAAGACTCTCTGTGGTCCGCAATATCATTGACTATGTTACCCTTCTGGAATGGCCTACGAGGCACTGTGTTGTCCTGGTTCACTTCCTTCCTCTGTAGCTGTTATCAGTTGAAGTTGATAGGAAGTGAGAGGTCTGGTCCTTGCCCCCACTTTGTGTGGTCACACAGGGTTCAGTACTTTCTCTACTTCTGTTTAACATCTACAGGTAGCTACCGAATGAAATCAGTCATCAGCATGAAGTGAGATATAATCAGTATGCTGATGATATCTAGTTGTATGTCTCAGTCCCTGCCATGACCTCCTTCTCACAGTGCGTGGAAGCTGTTAAGGGTTAAACAGGGAACAACATACTGAACCCTGGGATGACAGAATGGCTCTGAATTTGGAGTTCTTTGGTCCATGAAGAATTGCCAATTTTTATCTTGAATGAAGTTGCACTGCCCCAGATGGACCCAGTGCATAATCTGAGGTTCTCCTAGACTTGCTCAAGGTGTAGATTGCAGTTGTGGCCAGGACGGCCTCTACACAACTGTGGACTGTGTGTCAGTTATGCCCTTTCCTAGACCAACAAGCCCTGCTCACAGTGACCCATCCCCTAGACTATTGCAATATGCTCTACATGGGGCTGCACTTGAAAAGTATCCAAAAATTTCAATTAGTACAAAATGTCATGGACCACATGATTTTGTATAAGTCTAGATTTGCACATATCAGATGTATTGTACGCGGTCCAATTCAATTGATGATTGTCACCTTTGAAGCCCTACATAGTTTGGGGCCAAGTTATCTGAACAGTCTTTTCCCAGTTATTATCTAGCCAAATCACCAGAATTGGGAGGCAGAGAATGTTATGAGTCGCCTCTATTAAGGAGGTCCATCTAATGGGACGAAG